TCCAGCAACCCTCCGTTTGTTTCCTGAGATTAAGAGTTCCTCATATCAGTGAGGTCATATGATACATGTCTTTCTCTGTTTGACTTATTTCGCTCAGCATAACACCCTCCAGTTCCATCCACGTCGTTGCCAATGGAAAGATCTCATTCCTTTTGATGGCTGCATAATATTCCATTGTATATATGTACCACATCTTCTTTATCCATCATCTGTCGATGGACATCTTGGCTCTTTCCACAGTTTGGCTATTGTGGACATTGCTGCTATAAACATTGGGGTGCACGTACCCCTTTGGATCCCTACATTTGTGTCTTTGGGGTAAATTTCCAGTAGTGCAATTGCTGGGTCATATCCCATTTCCTAGAATGGTATCTCGAAAAAAGTAGCTGCTTAATAAGTACTTATTGAATAAATACCTTTACTTGCCTATTGTATGCATGGCTCTTTACTAGGATATTGGGACTACAAAGGCATTATAAGATATGAGTCCTGCTTCCAATCATTTAAAACTTGGTTGTGCCACCTTAAATTTTTCTGGAACATGGCGGAGGAAAGCCTTCCTCTCTGACTTGGAGAGAAAGTAATCAGAGACACACCCCGCTGAAATAATTAAGTGTTAATGTCAGGCAATATTTGATCACGTCAAGGAAATGCTGGAGCTCAGAGGGGCTATGAAGTAACAGGGGAAGAACCCAGAAAGAGAGATGAGAGCTGGCTTGTGTTCTCAAGTACCAACACAGATTTAATAGACCCCAAGAGTACTTTCCAGAAAAGGTGTGGGACAGGGCAGGGACGGAGAACTCTGGGTCTGGGTGATTATCTTTGTGTCTTTATCTTTTTTGCCCTGAGCCATAGTGATTTAGCTTGCTTCCTTCTCTCCTTTCAGTGTACTGTTTGCCAGGCATACTGTTCCCAGCATCCCCACTTCATCCAGGGGGCTTTTCTCCATGAGACCTGATGGTTAAAGCAAGACAGTTTTAGGATGAATGACCTAACAGGTGAAGCAGAGGGCTGAGGTAGCAATGGAAAGAGAAAGCAGGCATGGCTGGGGCTGGGGGGGAGGGGTAAATTAAAAGAAGAATGTGCCAGATTTGGTGACTTCTGGCTGCCTGTGATTCAAAGGGGAAGGTGATGTCTTTGGTGGGGATGCAGAAGGGAGGAGTGACCTGTTTGCAGTCGGGGTTATTCGTGGTCACGCAGGAGACATACTAAGTTCACCGTGACCATGGAACAACGGTATCAGCCTCCTGAAGGTGATGCCGTCTCAGCCCCGGACTGGAGAACTTGAGGGCTTTCCAGTTAGAGGAGATAGAGCAATGGCAGGAGAAAAGGTCAGAATCCAGGAAAAGGAAAGGAGAAATCCAGGACAAAACGTGTAGGGCTATCCAAAGTCTGTGATCAGGATGAGGAAGAAGGACCCAGCCAAGAAAACAGGCAACTGGGCAGTGGAGCAGGGGGAGAAACGTGGGGGCGGGGGTAGCTGGAGGTCACGCGAACCATGTGTTGGAGCATCAAGTGGTGCTGGGTTTCTAGAGGATGGGAACCAAGAAACTCCGGGGCCACGAGTTTTTCGAAGGTGTCCAGGGACCCTGCGGAAGAGCTAACCCAGAGAAGAGGGCTGATGATTCTTCCTCCGAGGAAGGAGGGAGAGCAGGAGATTATCATCTTAGTGTTAAGGTCAGAGCCTGGCTCCAGCAGGAGAGGAAGTCATTTCGTCGGGGACGTATAGTCACTCGGTGGTAGCAGGACCTGAGCTGACATCTCTAACCCCACTTAGGAGGCTACTTAGCGCACAGGTGTTGCTCCAAGGCGCAGTGCAGTGGCTGGAGGTGTGGTTTTTATCCTGAGCTCTTAGTAAATTAGAGCTAGATCACCAGGCAGCCAAGGGAAGTCATTGATTTTTCTCCCAGTGGCGGGTCGCCTTCCCTGCAGCTGGGAGGAAATGGAAACATGAATCCTATCATCACTTTGAATCACCGAAAACCTCTGGTGGATTTTTCTCAGCAGATGTGGCATTAATATCCATTTTCTCACCAAAATGCAAGCTAAGAGAACAAATTTCATTGACATTCTCTGCCCCCCTTCCCTTCCTCTCTCCAGCAAGCCTTCTAAAGTCATTTGCATGCTGGAGCGGGGAACAATGGGCTTCGAATGCCACTCCCACAGTGACACTGTGACACCTGAACATTTGTTCAAAACCAGTTCACACATGATCCCAGGGGGAAAAAGAGAAAGAATATATATGCATCCATTGTTTTGCTCCAGCTTCTCCTTTCCATGCTCCAGATGGACTGGAATTCTGTCTTATTTCATTCTTCGGATTTTCACTGGCCATTTACCATCCCATCTTCTGTGGGACCCAAGTGTAGGACTTTTCCTTGCCTTTGGTGCCTGCGCTGAGATTAGACTCACGGTTTTCCCATGTCCCACCCAACCCCCATCTCTGGTCCTATGAATGCAGACAAGCAGTGTTGACTTTACTGATGCTTTTAGGAAATTAGAACACAAGAATACACTACACAAGAAGCTTCCTAAAATTACCTAAAGAAGTTCTCTGCCTTTTCTTCACTTAGGATCTTTTCTTCTACAAGTCCTCTCTTGAGCAACCTTTTTTAGGAGCTGTTGTAGCTCTAACTCACTCTTAGATCACACCTTTCTATATTCCTTTTCTTAGTAGAATAATTTAGCTGTCTCTGCTTCTCCTATTTGCAACCTTATATTTAACCACCTCACTTAGTCAATAGCGTGTGTTCCTTGTGCTGAATCCTCTCTAGAAAGCAGAGGGTATTGTAAATATCAACTTTTACCCCAGCTATGGGATATTGACTCTCAAGAGCCCTTGGAAAGTTCAAACTCCTCCCTCTGCCCCCCGCCCCACTATCACTCTCTCTCACTCAAAATAAAAATAAATAAATCTTTATAAAAAATGGGGTGCCTGGGTGGCTCAGTCAGTTAAGCATCTGACTCTTGATTTCAGCTCAGGTCAGATCTCAGGGTCTTGAGATCAAGCCCCACATCAGGCTCTGTGCTCAGCAGAGAGTCTGCTTGAAATTCTCTCTTCCTCTGCTCCTCCCCTGCTCACGCTCTCTCCCTCTCTCTATCTCTCAAAATAAAAATAAATAAATCTTTAAAAAAAATAGAAAGTTCAAACTCTGGTGACTAGTCTTTGTGGTTGAACTTATATCAGATTTTATTAGAGCACAAGGAACAATAGGGCAGATAAAGGAATATGGCTATTGCGTTCAGGTGAAAATTATCCATTTTTGAGAAAAGCAGTCATAAAAAAATAGTAGATCAATGGATTCTTGCAATGGATTAAAAAGAAAGCCAAAACATTTTACCTTTTTAAGATTTTATTTATTTATTTCTTTAGAGGGCGAGAGGGGGGAGGGCAGGGGGGAGGGAGAGAGAGAATCTCAAGCAGACTCCTTGCTGAGCATGGAGCCCAATGAGGAGCTTGATCCCACAGCACTGAGATCATGACCTGAGCCAAAATCAAGAGTCAGTCACTTAACCAGCTGGGCCACCCAAGCACCCCAGAACATTTTGCTTTTAAGACTGTTGGGCCAGACAGATCTGGTGCTAAGCCATGGGTGTAGGGACCAGTATTTATAAAAATGCTGAGGTCTTGCTGCACTGCAAATGCATTTTTAAAAGCAACGCAGACCTGATGCCTTGTGTAAAACCCTCTCCTGTGTAGAAGGGCCTGGGGTCTGTAGGAAGCAGAGATGACAGAAGGTAGACTGAGCGATCACATCTTGAGGTGACCACATCCACAGCACACAGTCGCCTGGTGTGCCAACGCCGGGCTTCATGTGTGCACATGTGTCCGCGCCACTGTAGTTGGTCACATCAGTGCTCACGGGGTGGGTGCTTTTGTCCTTTATTATGGCCCTGGATTGCCCTCCAAGGTCAGGATGCCGCAGAGTGATTGATGTGTGAAAGAAGTTTTCATTACGACTGAGAGGACCTGCAGTTATGAATGTGCCTCTCGGGTGGAACCCTGAACTCTTCCGTTAATGTTAGAGTGGTATTTTTCAACTTGTGGATCATGACATCAATTTGTTGAGTACTAACCACTTAAAAAATGAAATAAACTAAAATAGCAAATATCAGAGTGTATTCCATATAGAAAGGAGGTATGGTTTCATGCAACTTTGTGTACAGTGGGTCATGTGTTTTTTACTATAAGTCGTGGTTGAAAAATTTGACAAACACTGGGTAGAGTACCAATCATGTGTTTCCATAATATGCAATAAATTTTGCCTTGTAAGTGGGAAACAGAGGAGTTTTTCAATGCACAAAACTTGACCCTAGCAAGTTATGAGATCAGTTTAGTGGATCATGACCAGCATTAATTAAAGCAAACAGAAAGTATCAGAGTGCTTTTATGTAACTCTTATATAAGACTTCTGTTTCCATCGTGCACACACATGTAAACCTATGAGTCTACTGGGACATGATGTAAAATGTATTTCTTACTGTGGATCATTGTCAAATGACCCGTAAAGCCACCGTTATAGAGTGTTCAGAGCAATAGACAGTTTTACTCAGAGAACAGTGCAGCGCTGACCACGGACACCATTTAATCTCTTCAGGCGAGCTGCCAGAAAGACTGTATTCAGAAGGGCATCAAGCACACAAAAGGGTTGAGAACCATTGTTGTACAGAGAAAGGGAACCTGAGAATCAGAACCCCTCTTCTGACTCCTCCCTCTCCAGCTGGAGCTGGTGAACGTGGAGGAAATGCCAACTGCTTTTACCGCAGTGCTAGTGGATGTTATTTTCTGGAGGTTGACGTTAAGACCGAGTTTGGGGAGCAAAATGCTTGTTAGGGTCAGCATTTGCAGAGGGTGGGGATGGGGAGGAAGGGACAGAGGGAGTGGAGTGCTGTGCAGCCCAGCAGAGGCTCGGGGAGCTCCTGTGTGGGGCAGAAATGGCAAGTCCTTTCTCCCTGGTATCCCGACTCTGTCATTGGATGCAGGTGTCCCCAGAAGGGGGCGGCCTCAGGTTGAGGCCAACCCTGAAGGAGATGGCACTGGAGGCCGACCGCTGACCACATGCCACAGCAGGTCCCTCCTAGAAGGGAGTCTGAGCAGCCACTTCCACAGCCAAGGAAGCCATGTGGTTTCTTGCCCAATCTTGGTTTGTTGATAATTGAGAACGACTTGAGTCAATCTGATTCCCGTTGGTTCTGCCTCCGCTTCCCTGGAATAGTCCTCTCCAAGGACAGGCCACGAGAAGTAGATAACATTGGACTACTCTATATTTAACTTCTGTACGACTCTTACTCCGTCCAGCATACGTTGACCTTATCCTACTGGGAACCAAAAATGTAATTATTAATAATTTAGTAGCCTCAGATACTTTGCCAGTACTGCCATTTTTGTGTACCCCTTTAAGAGATTTTACAAGGTTTTGAAAAACCGTTTTGTAAAAATACATGAAAGACCAAAAACTGGCAGTGCTAGCTTCTGGTAAGAATATCTGAAAAGAATATTTGGTCTCATCTCCTCAACTGAGTCAAAGTTACAAATCCTGAATTGTGCTCAAAGTGGCTAATCTTAAGACACAAATAGATACTTAATGACATCAACTCAGTCTATAATGTTGGAGAAGTAAAAGAAAAAAAAAGACAAAATTCTGGAAAAACACGGATGAGGGGGTGTACCTAAATGGTGCAAGGTGTCATTAAGAATTTTTAATATTGGGGGGAGGAGCAAGATGGCAGAGAAGTAGGAGACCTAAATTTAGTCTGGTCCCAGGAATTCAGCTAGATAGGGATCAAACCATTCTGAACACCTACGAACTCAACAGGAGATCGAAGAAAAAAATAGCAGCAACTCTCTGAACAAAAAAGTGACCACTTTCTGGAAGGTAGGACATGCGGAGAAGTGAATCCGAGGTGATATTCGGGAGGATAGATGGTGGGGGAGGGGGCCTCTGTCAGCCACTACTGGCAAGTGATAGAGCCATGGAGCACAAAATCGGAACTTCTAGAAGTCGGCTCCGCTGAGGCACGTCGCTCCAGTGGCTAAGCGGGGGATGGAACCCTCACTGGGACAGTGTGGTTTCAGGACCCTCGGGGTCACAGAAAGACCGGGGGTGCCTGAGTGTGGCAGAGCTCCCAGGTATCAGAGCGGGGAAGCTGGCTGCAGAGACGGAGCCGAGGTGCAGGCTCTCAGCTCGGGGTTGCCATAAACCGTGATCTGTGGCACAGTTGGGCCACTGCTC